GAATCAGTGATGTCAGCTTTGAAGGCCTGAAGATTCAAATGCTTTGTCTTACGAAACTGAATTTCCTTTGTCACAAGATTCGGGCGAGGAAAAGAGAGGTTGCATTCAACAAAACAATGATCTGACAAAAAGAAAGTAGTCTTGACTAGGTGAATATTAATGTCATTGGATGATCTCGAAATTAGAAGATCCAGGGTATGCCCAGACGAGGGAGTTGGTACAGTAACATGTTGTAATAAGCCAAAAGTTTCCAATAAATCAGTAAATGTTTTCGCGTCAGTATCAGACGGATCATCGAGATGGAAATTAAAGTCACCGGAGATTACTAATACTTCTGTGCACATAACCATGCTCTCAAGTAAGTTGGAGAATTCTTCGAAGAAAACGCTTGAAGAAACAGGGTGAGTTTGTGAATAAGGTGGACGATAGACTGCTAATGTTTTAATCGTAAGGTTGAGTAAAGCCAAGTTCCATTCAGAGTATTCAAAAGATCGTTTTTCACCTCCGTCAATTAAAGTAACTTTAAAATTGGTATTAAACATAATACCAGTGCCTCCACCCATTCTGTTAGATTGTCTAGGAAGGTTTTTAAAAGAGTAACCAGGGGGAGAAAGCGCGGCTATGCTAACAGTGTCAACGTCTTTTAACCAGGTCTCAGTCACAATACACACATCAATATCGTTGCTCAAAACATGATCAACAATTTCGGCTGTTTTGTTTTTAAGAGATCTCGCATTAACATTGGCGAAACGTAGGAATTTTGTATGAGAATCTGAATTTAAGTTAGTTCTATGTACAGACACGCAGACACAGTTTGAAGGGTTGTGAGTACGAGCACGGTGACAACGACCATTACGCGGATGTCTATCATGAGTACTCAATATCCTGTTGTTTGTACTGACATCAATGAAGGAGGGTATGGAAAAGGTTGGGATGTTGGGTGGTATATTGGGGATCGAAATGGAGGGAAATAATAGGGATTCACAGGAAAAGGGGAGTAATGAAAACTGGGTGAGGAGACAGTTTTGTCCATTATCTTATAGGAGGGTCGTTGGATGTTATTATAAAATTGAGGTTTCTGATGTAGGAAGTCACAATTATTGCCTTTTTTACAGAATTTTCTTTTCCTCAGGAATGGACACGGGGTTAAATGTTTTGGGCGTTTAGTAGATTAGTAGCTTCAGTTAGTGTGCAGTTTTTTACGAGATCGGTATTCGAGACGCTAGGTTGATCTTTAACAATAAGAACTGACTCATTATGTATATCAGTTTCATTATGGGATATATTTATAATGTCTTCAGTTGACTGATTTAAGTCGGAGTTTAGAACGCTAGGCTGGTCACTTGCTATATTCCTAAACTCGTCGTAGATATTAAATTCATTGAATAAAGTTGGTCCAATGGTATGGGAGGTGTATATGTTAGGGTCAATTAGCGGATCCTTATCAGTAGTTGTAGGGTCATTAAAGGTGGTATTTCTCATACTATTAGTGGGACTGTTGGTCATAGGATTGATATTCATTACTTTGAATGTTGAATTCCCAAGAGACCGCAAGCTTGACGCAAGGAGCAAATTTGCTTCGCTAAGTCTACATATCTCGCTGTCTTGCTTGCGAATAACAGACTCAAAGTCTTTTTGTTTAGATCGCATAGAGTTAATTTCAGTTATTAGATCACTCGTAATGTCCACTAGAGTAGCAATATCTGCTTTCAAGCCATCAAACTGCGATACAGATGGTTCAGTCAGCTCATTAACACTACTACAAACCTCTTTCGTTGATGCTTCGCATGAGGGATTTACATCTTTCGGGTCCCGATTTATCAAGCTTTCGAGCTTCAACTTTAGATTCTCTTCAGCATCATCACTCTGTATAACCAGCTTTTTCGAACGAGGACCGCGCCATTTAATCATATATTCCCCTTCTCCTTCGCTTTTGAAAACTTTAACGTCGCCTCCAGGGGATTTCCACTTGCCTTTCAAGTTTAGTGCTTCTAGAACAAACCTTTCTAATTCCTCAAAGGTTTTAAGCCATACATATGTTCCACTGTCGTAAGATAGACCGTTAAGATAATTCATAGTTGATTAAAAACTAAGATTTTGTTCAAAATATATAAAAATATAGCGGAGCGAAAAGCACACGAGCACAGGCCTGTTTGAAACATCGTATCCTCGTTTCGATCTGGTATGATCTGTCACATTCATGCTGAATTATTTAGCAGTTTTTATTTCGAATTTTATTCCATTTTACTTCACTAAGAAACTTTTATTAATGGAGTTTTTCACAGGAAAACCATGACTGCTTGCCTTGCAAGTTTGTCATTTAGCCCACACATGTTAAGCTATCTCTGCTAGTAATGGAAAGAAGAGATTGTCGTCTGAAACTCCCTGGTCATGTTCTGGAAAAATGAAATTTGTGTTTATTTTGCAAAAAGAGTAATTTCAGAAAACTTCCATACCCTTCCCTTCCTACCACCCCCACTCCATTTTCAAGCTACAGTGTATATTCGTTTTATTATCTGAACCTGGCAAGAAGCAGTGAGGCCAGCTTAGACAAAATTCAAAAAAATTCAATGGACCGAAAGACTGTTGGATGTTAATGTGCAATCTTGGTCCAAGAGTAGCAAAGTGTTGGGGGACAGTGGGGGGAGGGGAGTACTGTACTACTATTCTAGCGATTGCCAGTTTGCCTGCACTTGATTGTTTCATACAGCTAAAAGCCTGATGTTTGAAATACACATTGTCAAATGACACTTTTATGGAATGATTTCGAATAAAAAATGACCGGTCGATGCGATCTGATTTGAAGTGAGTGGTTGAATTCGGAACTTACCACTTTTTTGGAATTTACAAAGTACGAGAGCCTTCCCACTTCTGCTTCTGTAGTGTGTTGTAATTTTTTGCAAATTGTTCTGTTTTTCTGTAGCGATTACCAAATTATCAATAAATATGACGACAAAATTTAGTTTTCTTTGTTTTTATTTGATAATTTCTGGCGAAGGATGCGTATTTCGTTGTATTCGCTGCATTTTAGCACATGAAACCGGCGAAATTTGAATTTTATTGCCGTATTTGTCTATAAATCGGTAACCGTTGCAGTATGAATACAGAACAAATTACAGAAAATGTCAACAGATTACAGAATCGGAAATGGGAAGGTTTTTGTAGTTTGACTGTAAATATCCTTCAATTAGCCATTCCGAAGTTGATGAGTGGACTGGGGACGAGTGTTAAAAAGTGCCCAAATTAAGAAATGAACCAAATCACTGAAAAGATTTTAGAATCACAAAATTAGTAAGCATACAAAGTTTGAAGACGTTTACATGAATACCCTTCGAAAATTGTGAAATTACCGATTAAAAGGCTGTTTTTAGGACGCGCGTCCCCAACAAAAAAATTACAGTACATTTCATAGTAAATAACGCGATGTTCGAAAACTTATTATTCGAAGGATATTCATGTAAACGTCTTCATACTTTGTATACTTGCTAATTTTGAGGTGTTCTTATTAGTGATTTGGTTCATTTCCTAATTTGGGCACTTTATAACACTCGTCCCCAGTGCTTTCATCAACTTCGGAATGGCTAATTTTCGAACATTTGTCCAAATGTTTGTTGCCCATTTGGGAAACGTATGCCATTGTGAGTCCAGTCTTCAAGCGTTCAGTGTTGTAAAATGAGTTAAACGTTTATCAAAACTCGATGCTTGCACATGCGCTGCGCCATTTTACTCACGGCCCGCCTTGTAAAGCGGGGGACTTCAATTTGAATACCAAATGAGAATGTCACATAACGCGTCATGTTACCTCGCTGAAATTTTGAAATAATAGCTAGATCACATTCATTGGGAGGAACAAAATGACAAACAATAAAAAAATAACAAAAAATCGTTCTTTTAACTTTTTACGTTTCAGCAATGCGCGCGCATAACATGCACACAGGCCCCATAATAATTAGCGCAATGTACGTGGTATTTAATGTCCCGAGATCGTTGGTTTCAACCACAGAGTACAATGCAAAATCCATAAAAAAAACGGTCAATTCGTTGAAAAATTTTTTAGGGTCCTAAATGGGCCTTCTAATTAATAATTAAAGTAATTATACAAATCATTGAAATCATCAAATCAATAAAACGAAGGGCTGTTTTGCAAAAATGGGTTATAGTAATATACAGCTATTTCAATTAAGGTTGTTCCCCGAGCAAAACGGAAAAGTCGAAAACGAGCGCGAAAGGCTGCTGGGAATCGCTAATAAATGAATGAATTTATCAGCGATTCCCAGCAGCCTTTCGCGCTCGTATTCGACTTTTCCGCTTTGCCCGGGGACAACCTTAATTGACAACCGAGACCTTGGCGGGGGCCCGGGGCCAAAATTTTTTAGGGGCCCCTATTGCAAAAACATTTTCCGGAAAAATTTTTTTCGGACAATGATTCCTTTTCAGGTAAAAAAATTTTCCTGACAAGTACGTTGTAATTGCTTTCGTGGGCCTTTTCCGCAATTTTCCATACCAAATTCTGGTACTTTGCCCCCCCCCCCCCAACACAAATATTTCTGCCCGAAAACAAATATTTCGCCGGAAAAAATGACTGGGGCCCAACATTAAATTTCTAGGGGCCCCCAAAGCCTCTGGCCAATTTGCCCCCTCTCGGCGGCCCTGGAAGTAGCTGTATACATTTCACACTGCAACCAGCCTGACTCGGCCTGAGCGCCCCTGCCACTTGAAAAACTTATTGCAACTGTTTATTATACCGATGTTATTATTCCAATGCTCAAACTTGTTTAGGTTTCTTTACGCGTATAGTAAAATGCAAGATATCGCACTGAAAATTCCAGTCTCGCCTTCGCCTCCCCCCTTGCTTCTCCCACCTTCGTCCTCCGCCTAATAGCGCATTCTATATGTTTGCGTATCAGCATTGTGCGTGAATAACACTAGGGAGGTTAAGCTTCGTGTTTCCGGGAACGGCAGATTCGAACTTTCTTCCCAAAATTTCCGTTGAATGTTTTCGTTTCAGAAATGTTTTCGTTTTCTTTCTTGTGTCGAAAGAATAGTCATGCATTGCAGTTTTAAAACAGCAAGTTCATTTACTCTTTACTGCCTGATACTGTAAAATTTTTCTTTGTCTGGTGCCGTATAACGCGAAGCTTAAATTCTCTATTTCCCATAGTAACTAGTGCAATTACGTGGTATTCAATTTAGTTATTTAGTTAGAGAAACGTATGTGAAATCAACGATGAAATATTTTTAGGGTCCTAAATATGCGTTTTTACCATAGATATCTTATATACACTAGATAGTGCATCTAATTATTCTGCAATTCAAAAATTGAAGCCGTGATTGCAGTCTCAGGTCGTTCTCATGAAATGAGAAGATTCGTATGTTTCCTATTTCTTAAACAGGGAACTTAAACATTAAGTTAAACCTATTCCATATTCGTTTTTAAAGTATTCAAATGATGAAAGTTATTGTTGTTTTTAAGCGTGGCCAACATGGCCGCCATCTATTCAAATGAGGGTAACCGCTGGAATATTCTTGGCTCCAATTTTACTAAAAGAGATGCGCATCTACAATCTTTGCCAGAAACTATGGGGCAGCTGCTGTAATTTCATATAATTTGAAAGGAATAGCGCCCTCCGTTCCCCCAATTCAATGTTGGGCCAACAAAAATCTGATGTCTGGATGCGCGGCGCCAACATTGAAACGGGTGGGGGGAGAGAGGGTGGAAAATATGTATCAGGAAATGGTATATTACAACCGAATGCATGTGAAAACTAGATTGTCCCAATCTATATTGTCAAAGATTGTAGTCTATATAAGATATCTATGGTTTTTACACCTAAAATATGCAACAATGATCCCTCTTGCAATAAATACGCCAGTAAAGCTGTTTAATATTAGGTTACTCAACACACCCC